TTTGGGATAGTAGTGATTATATGTAAAAGAGAAGGCAGAGGTTTTTTTTTTTTTTTGAGAGGATTTTGCTATAGGGTGTGTGCGCTCGCCAAAAAGACAGAGTCAGAAAGTAAGAAATTACCCCCCAGGGGATGGCCACGCTGCAATCCCTTCTACTCCATTCTCCTCTTGGGATCTTGGGTATACACGCACATGTGCCCAACATGAGTTTAAGCCACCAGGTCTGGGACTCGATCCACAGTCGAGTTCAGCGACATAGCCGTTACTCTAACTGCTGGTCCCGAGAAGGCAGAGTTTAAAGAAACTACAGGAGAGAGAGAAATACTATACCTAAAGTAGTTGGGAGGAAAGAGTAATTTAAAAGAGCAGACACAGAGAGGGTCATGTGGAGAGATCTATCCGACAAAAGCCTTAACCTTTTGAAGGGAGGCAACCAGCCCCCAGCAGCTCTGTAGGAAGAGAGCCAAGAGAATACACAGCCTGATGTCACTCTTTCTTCTCTCCATTCTCCTGCTTGTCTTATCCATGGCCTGACTGGAAGCTGGAAAGAGAAGTCCAATGATTCCTGAACATGGTCCAGCCTCTCAGGGTACAGAGTAGAGTGGAGAAGGGAGTAGATGTGGAGAAGCAAAGACAATATATCCAGCCCATAGCTATGTCAGTCAGCCTGACTAACTTCTGTCTCAAATAACACCAAAATATCACTGGTTAAGACAACAAAAGCTTATTTCTCATTTATGGCATGTCGTCTTATGCTTCTACTATCTTACAAGGTCTTAGAGACTCCCTCTACTGAATCTTCTGTTCCTAGCAGGAATTGATAGAAGGATGCAAGAATACAGAATTGGTGACAAGTTAGACACCAAGCCTGGAAGTGGTCTGTATCACTGGAACCTACATTTACTGACTTGAACTCAGTCCTTCTAACAAAAAAGACGCTAGGAGTGGTGTGGTAACGTGCGCAGGAGGAAGAAGTGAAACATGACTACACTAAGCACTAGCCTTATTACAGATGTCTTACATAACACTCCAGTGGAAACAAGACAGCATCCCAAAGTCAACCTAATACCTCCGCAGTGAAACATTAACATTCACGCTAAACGGGACAAATAAATTATAATAACAAAACAAAAACAAAACCTCACACCAAAGCTGGTGTTTCTACCAAATCAATCTTGGTGCCAAACTTATTTTGAGAACTTTAGGTTTCAGAGGATTTTGGATTTGAGAACTGAAGATAGGGCATTATGAATGTGCATTATAAGCCACAATATACAAATAAAGGAGTCCTCTCAAAATAGCCAGAGGGGCCAGCAGGTGGCATGGTGGTTATGGTGCTGGACTCTTCATATAGCAAACCGTGGTTCGAGTTTTGGAAATGGTGTCTTGTTTTCTCAATGTCCTTTCCTCCCTCTGTCTCTTTTGGGTCAAATTTAATAATAATAATAATAATAATAATAATAATAATAATAATAAAATAAATAATTCTTTTTTAAAAATAGCAGTCAGCACTCAGAGACAGGACTTAAACTCAAGCCCACGATTTATAAATGTATGTTTATAATTCTAGGAAAATTGCAAATGTCTCATTCTTTTGGACATCATGAATGGTATCTGCCCTCAGATATGAAGAAAAAGGAGATATTTTTAATGAATCCCAATGTTGTGTTCTGTTCTTTGGGAGCAATCTCTATGCTAAAAGAAAAGGGGATAAAAAGAATAAGAGGTAGTGCCTCACCACAGGAGCAAGAGCAAGATTTAGGAAAAACAAAACAAAACAGACTCTGATAAGTATAAAATCCTAACATGAATGATTCTGAAGTGTAGAATTAGCGAAGGAAGGTGGTGATATCAGTGTTAGACTCTGAAGGAAAAACAGAATTGTCGATGAAGAAAGTACTTTGGGCAGGAGGAGGGATGCTATATAAAGATACAAAGATAGAAGGTATTTGAAGGCCCAGATTATGGTAAATAATTTTTAACAACACATGAGTACTGGAAAATTCAGAATTCTAAATTTTACTGAGTCGTCACCAAGAGGCCCTGGGCGTGGGGTGTGCCTATAGTGCCAGCTACTCCAGAGACTGAGGCAGGAGGATCCTGAGTTTAAGGTCAGCGTGGGCAACAGAGAGAGAGGCTCTCTCCCTAAAAAATAAACGTAAAATAATTTTTTAAATAATGGGGACTAGGGATCCTGATCAGTAAGAAAAAGAAGATACTAAGAAATTTAAGGTTGGAGAGTCAACTGCCTAGGTGACAGTGCAATTAACTAAGAAGAACTGAGAAGAATATATCTAGGCCCAAGAATCATAGGAGGGAAATGTTTAGTTTCAAATTTTAAATAAGTTGAGACTGAGGTGTCTGAAGTATCAATGAAGAGTTGTGTAACTGTGATATTCAAAGGGTCATGACTAGAAAAATAGATGAAGTCACTGACACGCAGTCTATTCGAGGTCGAAATATGACCACTACCATTATCAACTGTATATTGCTCAAAGAAATCCACAGAATGAGCAAGTCAGTAGGAAGGGCAGTACGAAACTTCCACGAGTTTCTTAGAGCTCTGATTCATAGTGTCTACTTCGGTTGTCAAGAGGCTTTTTTTTTTTCTTTGTATACCTCTTAGGTTTGACCACAGGTGAAGTTATTGTATGTACCAAATAAGTAAGATTTGGCAAGCACCACTTCTATTCATTTGGGAAGAAAAAAACCTTCATGCAAAGTAAAACAAGTACAGGACATGTATTGACTTGTCCTCTACCACGTAGCAGCTTCCTAGCATGTCAACACTTTTGTTCACAGCTCTGCAATTTTAGACTGCTAGCCAGCGTGATGGCAACAGCACCACCATACAACCCAACTTCCCTGTATGCTAGTTACCAAGGAAAAAACTGTCCAAAAGGCAAAATTCTTTTAGAGAATTTACTAAAGGTGCTACGAAAGATGAGTGGTTTAATAACGTAATAAACACACAAAACTCTGTAAACTCAGTATGAAAGTAACATTTTCAAATGTAATCCTTTTCTAAAGTTTCATAGTTTCTTTTCTAAAATGTTGTTTACCAAAAAATAAATTCCTAGAATGCAATACTCCTGAATTATTTTTAAAGCTTTAAAATCACGAAGGCTAGAACTACCTTATACACACATGCTTAAAGGGAAAAAAAATAAATCTTTAATATACTTAACTAATTTTAAATAATAATAATTATGGCAGGTAAAATAATATATTCATCTAGTTAGAGTCAATCCAGTAAAGAAATTCATTAGTGTATACATGACAAAGAGAAATAACAAAATGGCATTAACTGCATTCTTTAAGTAAGTGAGTAGATTTAGAAAGATTTTATTTTAATTCCTTAATCACTGTCAAAGGCCGTCTGTTTACACTAACTGAATGGAAAACACTCTGTTGGATACTTCCAAAGAGCAAATTGCAAGCCCAGTTTAGAACATGTGACTTCCTCACTAACTATATATGATAGCATACAGTGAGTGAGGAATCGGATATACCATAAGATACTGGAGAAAGCCTGAATTCTTAATCTTTGAAGACAAATAGCAAAGGTAACGGTAATTTAAAATTTTCTCAATGATATATCAGAGCCAAATGTAACTTTCAGTATATACTAGATTTCTAAAATTAAAGTTTAAGCTTTAATTTATAAAAAAAGGAAAATTAGAATATTTTAACTATGCCCACCATGGCCTAATGATCCCAAAAGTGGCAAGTTACCAGATTTAAATACAGGATGAAAGGTATCAGCCTCACTGTAAAACTAGCTTACTATTAAACTTTTGGGAGATATATATGGTCTTTACTGTCCATGTTTACTAACGTACACTGGACTAAGACTAAGACTGAGACTCAAGTTCTAGTTCTGGTTTATTCATGCATCCCCAGGCAAGTTATGCCCCTTGTTTGAACTCATTTGTAAAATGAATGAGTTGATTTTGATCAATTCTAAATTTCTAGCTTAAAAACTACCAAATTCTCTAAGAACTATTTTTTTTTTTAAGGGAGAAAGGGGGAAAAAATGAAAGAAACTTAATTCCAGCACTGAGAAACTCGTGTGGTTTAAATCTCTTTTAGTCTCTGGAGTAAATATCTAGAAGTAATATCCTATCTGTGACCGAAGCTTAAAAATTAAATTACTGGAATAAAGACCATAAGAAATCTCAAGAAGAAAATGCCAATAATTGTTTAATTACTACGTACTTAGTTACTCTCTTTCTCCAAAACTTCCTCTTACCCTTCACCTCTGTCCTAATCTATACTGACTTCAAGGCTCCTTCCTTACTGTACTGAATGTCTAGTGTTTTTATTTTTTTACTGTTTTTTAATAGAAAAAAAAATGAAGCTCTTTTGTAGTCTTCAGAGTGCTTTTGCTTTAAGTTGGTGGCCCTAGACAGAAAATAAGTCTTATATCAGCAGACACTGAGAACAAAGAAAGGGAAGGGTTTTCATTTACTAATAAACAATGAAAAAAGAAACATTTTATTACATGAAATGTACTGAATAAACACAATCAAGGGTATATGCTTGCCCATTTGTGATCCAACTGTTAAATTAAATGAATGTAATTATTTCAACACAGAAAATGATGTCCAAGCTATCAACCATCCGCCTGCTATTTATATGTGTTTACACTCTGGGAATACTTGCAGTCTAGTGTTTTTAATTTTTTTACTGTTTTTTAATAGAAAAAAAAATGAAGCTCTTTTGTAGTCTTCAGAGTGCTTTTGCTTTAAGTTGGTGGCCCTAGACAGAAAATAAGTCTTATATCAGCAGACACTGAGAACAAAGAAAGGGAAGGGTTTCATTTACTAATAAACAATGAAAAAAGAAACATTTTATTACATGAAATGTACTGAATAAACACAATCAAGGGTATATGCTTGCCCATTTGTGATCCAACTGTTAAATTAAATGAATGTAATTATTTCAACACAGAAAATGATGTCCAAGCTATCAACCATCCGCCTGCTATTTATATGTGTTTACACTCTGGGAATACTTGCAACATCAACGAACTCAAATTCTACGCCGATCTCCAGTACCGGGGCAAGCCCAAACCCTGGGACCAGGCAAAGTTCTGGGAGGACCTCTAGTGTCATGAGGGGCTTAAGTATGACCTCTAATTCCAACATGAATCCAACTTCCAAGACAATAACCTCAACTCCCAAAACAACTCTGAAATCAGCAGTGACCCTAAAGACAGCCACAGCAATGAATAATGTGACAAATGGTAGCACTACATATAAGCCAATGGACAACATTCACTTTCTTTTCTACACAACATTTCTGCTGTTTTGTCTGCACTTGGGCTGAAGTGAACTTTAACTGCCTGCATTCTTATAACAGTTTCTTATCATCTGCTGAATGACAAGTACACAAGGAAAATAAAATTTATTTCAACTTACTATCTAAGAAATTATTATCCTAGCTTGATTTGGTTGTTTGAAAATTTTAATTGTGTAATGTTTTATGATGTTTTCCTTTTCTTCTATAAAAAAGTATGTACTACCCTATAAAATGTGAAAATAAGTAAAATACCAAATGTTTGCTTTTTAAATGTTTGCAAAACTAAACTGAAACTCATATGTTTATATTAAAGAGGTGTAAGAGAAGAAATTATGTAGGTGGTATTTAACCAGAGTATGTCTGTGTGTGAGAGAGTTAGGGGGAGAGAAAATAAGAAATAAAGAGCTGTATGAGAGAAGTTGGTTTTATATTTAAAATTTTTTTATTTTTTTAAAAAATAAATTTTAACTAATTTTATTTACTATTATATATATATTTTTTCATTTGACCACAGATAAAGAGAGAGAGAAGGATGGTAAGAAAGCAAGCCACCAGATTTGGGACTCAAACCACGTTAGGCCATGTGGGAGTCCAGTGCCTTAACCACCACGTCACTTGGCAGCCCCTAACTTTTTTTTAAAGATTTTTTGCCATAGCGTACATGCGCTCAGTGGAGAGAGTTACAGACAATCAGAGAGAGAGGGAAAGTGAGAAAAGTAACACTACAATCCCTTCTCCTCCATTCTCATCTCTGGCGTTTGGGCACACACACATACATGCCCTGCATGTTTTTCAAGTTGCCAGGTCCAGGACTCAAACTACAGAGTTGGCCATTTGGGATCCAGTGTCTTAACCACCAGGCTACTTGCTGGCCTAATGTAATTTTTTCTTAATTAAGTAGATACAAAAAGTGTTAATCTCATAAATAGAAACTATAATGCTTTATAAAACACACCAGTTTATATTATCAAATTCATGAAGGTGTAATACTACTATGTTACTCCAGTAAAAAAAGGTGCCAGTTCTGCAATCTTTGTAATGCCTAACAGTGTTACTCCAATTACAAGATTATCTCATTCTGAGTAAACTCTTCTGTTCAAAAGACCATTTGTAATTAGATGCCTAGAAATCAGAACTAATTTTTCCCAATAAAAATATAGCTCATAATGTAGATTTGCATGCAAAGGGTGATTTAATCCAAAACCCTAGAATATAATTATAAAAGGAATAATAACCATAATATTAATAGTGCAGTTGCTAAAAAAGTTGGCTTTGGTTTGTAATCTGACTTTGTTTCTTACTCTTGACAAGCTGTGCTATAATGGGTGAAATACATGACCCAATAGGATTCCGAAACAAACCCCAGCAATAGACTATCAATGAATCACTCTGGGTGCCTGTTAAACACTGGGTTGTCAGAAAAGTCATGATGTATTTTTTTCTATGTTTTTCTATGTAAAAATGCATCACGAATCTTCTGACAACCCAATATATAAATTAAGCTCTGCTCCTGAGAATTTGATTTGGCAACTCAGGACAGGGGCTAGGATATGCTTGTTTTAATTCTCCAGATCATTCTGATAGCTAGGTTTGGATTTCAGTTTATACAAGTTAATTACTGTTAACAAAATACTTCAGAAGGCATTATAAGGATTAAATGAGATATAATACAATATACACAATATGCTTGATGCAGAGAAAACTTGGTAAATGTTAGCTGTTATCATTACTACTACAGGTTAGGTAACCCTAACCTGAAAATCCAGATTTCAAAATGCTCCAAAACCCAACTTTCTGAGCTTTGACATGACATCAGAAGTGAAAATTCCACATCTGAACTTATGTGACAGTTGCAGCCAAAAGACTGTATAAAAGGCATGGCAGGAGATGTGGAGGTTGAGGCACTGGATCCCACATGGCCAGATACACAGTTTAAGCCCAGGGTCTGGAGCTTGAAAATCATATTGAGTGCATGTGCAAGTGTACCCAAAGTCCTGAAAGGAGACTGATGGAGAAGGGATTGTGGCATGGACCCCTGCTACAGGGTGATTTCTTACTTTCCCCTTCTCTCTCTGACTCTGTTTCTCTCTGGTGAGTACATGTGTCCTATTAGCAAAAACAGACAAAAGAAAAAGAAAAAAGATTACATACAAAATGTTTTATAAGATTGCCTTCAGGATATCTGTACAAGGTATATCTAAAACATAAATGAATTTCATGTTTAGATTTGGGTCTCATTCCCCAGATATCTTATTGTGTACATGCAAATATTTTTTTTAAAAAATCTGAAATCAGAAAACGTAGTAAGGGACACTCAAGTCTACTACCATACAAAAAAGCAATTGCCAGGTAACACAATATTCTGAAAGGAAAACGCTTCATTGTAACTTTTACATTTTATATTTTTAATTATCCTCATGTAAATAACATGTTCCTGACAAAAATAAACTAGTATAGAGATGCGCAATGGAAATATTATAGTTGGCCCTGTTTCCTCTAATCATACACCCGACTTAAGTAATGTGGACAATTTAATATGCATAGTTTCACACATTTCTTGGTTATACACACACACGTGCACATACCCATTACTCTGCACCTTGTCATGTAAGTCTCAGAGTCATCCTTCTGAATCTTTTTAAAGCTGCACGGATAGGACTTCTGTTATTTTTCGCCTGTCCAGTACCCCTGTTTTTTTTCATTCTGGTATTAACAATCTAATTTTCCTTTGGGAAACCCCAGTCCCATGCTGTCCTTTCAGCTCATACGATTGGGGTAGGGCTGGCTTCACCACAGTGCTCCAGGAATGATCACATAATCCAGGCCTAGATAACCAAGAGATCTATCCCCCTTGCCACAGTGACTTTCTTGGGAACTGACACACAACTCGGGCCAGGCTACTAAGCCCAATCTTGCTTGATGAAGCTACTGGGAAAAAAGGTGTTTTTCCATTGGGGTTGTTAAGCTGGGAGAACACAATATTGTTTAAAGGTCTGCATCTGGTGATGCAAGAAACTGTTTTATCTCACAATAAATTCCCATTCTTTTTTTTTTTTTTTGGAGAGATTTTTGCTATAGGGCGTGTGCGCTCACCAGACAGAGACATAGAGACAGAAAGCGAGAAATCATCCCCCAGAGGGGATGGTCACGCCGCAATCCCTTCTCCTCCATTCTCCTCTCGGGATCTTGGGCACGCATGCACATGCACCCAGCGTGAGTTTTAAGCCACCGGGTCTGGGATGCAAACTGCAGTCGACTACGTGGGAGTCCAGCGACAAAGCCATTACGCTAACTGCTGGTTCCCAATAAATTCCCATTCTTATTAAACTTAATTTTTTAGTTTCTAGAAATGATCTTGCTGGAGACAGAGACAGAAAGAGATAGGGAGAGGGAGAAAGCACCCCACTAAGAAAAGGTCATGCTGCAACCCCTTCATCTCCATTTCTTCATTCCATAGGATTTCAGACATGCTTGCGTACACAGAGTGTGCTCAAGCTACCAGGTATGGGGCCAGTGGAATCCAGCATTCTTAACCGCTAGGCCATGGCTCTAGCACCCCTTTTTGGTTTATACAAATTTAAATTGCGTTTCTGTCGCTTGTTATGAGCAAAGTAAACTTAACCCATTGTACTATTCCAAGACATGTATCACTAGCCATTCAACATTTCTCTTTTGAAACCTAATTATACTGCTGTAGTTGCTGCTTTATGCCACTATAACTATGCTACAATTGTTCTTGTATTTACCACAGAGCAGGAGCATAAGCATATTGGAGGAAACGGCAACAAAAGATTAGGAAAGTAAACCAGGCCAGAATGACAGAATTCCTTGCATGTCTGGCTACAGAACTTGGACTTTCTGTGGGGAGTCAATGAGAAAGACAAGATTAGGTTTCTATTAAAAACCATCTCCAGAAATAATGCTAAAATGTCCTGGAAGGGACCAGTCCATCATCACCTGGCAGTTACTGTGACTGGGTCCCACTTGAATCCACGCAATTCAAGTCCTAGATCTGGCAACTTGAAAAACAAGCTGAGTACATGTGCACCCAAAATCCCCAAAGGAGGAAGAAATGGAGGAGAAGGGATTGCAGCATGACTATTTCCCATGGGGGGGGGGGCTTTCTCACTTTACGACTCTATTTGTCTGTCTCTCTCTGATGAACGCATATGCCTTCTGACAAAAAATTTTAAAAATGAACTGGAAGCAGTCATCTGGGAAGTAGAGAAGAGAAAGAGCATGATGCTGAACTGGTATAGGTAAGGGTACCAGGACTGAGAGTTCTAGTAAGGCAGTGGGGAAAAAAATGCTTCAAAAGACATTTCCAAGGTACCTCATAGTATTATCAGGTCTTAGGAAAAAACTAGAATTAAAATACATACATAAGGTCAGCTCCTGATAAATAGCACTGCATAGTCACATTTTATTTCATTGTATTTACTTTTCAAAATTTTGCCAGAAGGCGTTACACTAGCAAGAGAGAGAGAGAAAGGGAGGGAGAGGAGAAAATACCTCCCATGGGGAATGGTCCCTCTTCCATTTCTCTATCCTGCTAGGATTTGGGGCATGCGCACACACATACTCAGCATGTTTCTGAAGCCACCAGGCCACAGAGTCAGCCCACATGGTCACATTTTAAATCAGACAACTGCTAGGTCAGGAGAACATACATGCCTCAGGGGCAGGCAGAAATGTACTAACCGGCCAACACTCAGCATGAGAGGTTTTGCCAAGTAGAGATACATTAGGGCTGAACCACATTTTCTTTCTGAAATCTCGGGTGTGCTGTCCTGAGGTAATGAAGGGATTACTAATTGCTTTAAAGCTGAAAGGACCCAGAAAGAGGAAAATCATGAGGTACAGTGGAACACAAAGCCGAGAAAGGGTCAGAGAGCACAAGCTGGTTTCAGAGCCGACAGCCATCTAGAATAGTTCTGCCTATTCCTAGATAGCTCTTTAATTTGTGTTTTTCCTAAGGCCCCAAGAAGTTGAGAAAATAAGAATGACTTCTTTTATGAACAACTTAATTGATTTGCCAGAATATCACAAGTAAAATTAAGACATGGTAACTAACAATGAGGAAGATAAAGAGGGAAGAATTTTAAATTACTAATGTTTCTAGATGGGAACTGGAAGGAATGGTAATGCTACTGAGAAATAGAAAATGGTGTAAAAAGGAGGTTGATTAAAATACACACTGAATCAAGTTTTGGACATTTCAAATCTGAAATATCTGTGGACTATATGCAGGACAACTGGAATCCCAGTTCAAAAAAAGAGTACCTACTACGTGTTAGCCGAAGCCACAGAAACACAGGAATATCAAAAGAGAAGTCAACCCCAAATGCTCCACCACAAAATTGGCTATACAGAGACAAGGCTATACAGAGACAAGGCCTTCACTAACTTCGAGATTTGTACAAGGGAGAAACTGAGCCTCCCTCTGCTCTGTTCTACTGTGGCTCACCTGTCCCGGGGCTAAGATTTTATACCAGGTGAAAATAAAGGCCAGGAGGTACTCCAATAGGCCTAAGTAAGAAGCTAAAACGATTTAAAAATCTGCCACTGGCAGGTTCATATTCCAAAAAGAACATCTCAAACTTACTCCACATACAACTTTTGTAGGTCACAGAAGACTACAAAGACTGAAAGACTATCGGAGAGGTAGGCAGTTTTTAGAAGCATATCCCCTCCGTTTTTAACATACAAAGAAATAGATTCAGAAAAATAAATGAACTCATTAAGATTATGCAACTAATAAGCAGCAGAGCTGGGGATCCTTTGTACTCTCACACCATGGTGTTGTGAGGGCTTTGTGGAAGCCTCACTGAGTCTAGCCCACTGATGGGGTCTGCATCAGGACCAACCTACCCTCCTTTAGTCTTTTTCTTTTTTTTTAATAGATATTTTCATTATAGAGCGTGCACACTTGAGAGACAGACAGAAAGCGAGAAATCAACCCCCAGGGGAATGGCTATGCTGGAATCCCTTCTCCTTCATTTTCCTCTTGGGATTTTGAGCAGGCACGTGCATGCATCGGCAAGAGTTTTAAGCTGCCAGGTCCAGGACTCAAACCGTGGTCGATTCTGTGAGAGTCTAGCAATGTAACCATTATTCCATCTTCTGGTTCTTCTTCAGCCTTTGCTGATCACCACAGAGAAGGAACACATACCTAGTTTCTGGTCCTATAGAATAAAAACCCAGCTTTGATGTTTTCCAGAAACCTTTGCTACTTGTTGACCGACAAGAATTTAAAGGGGGACCAGGGTAGGGGACACACATCTACCTACGCCCCTGTCAATGTTTTGATTTGTTTTGTTTTGTTTTCTTAGGTTTTTGCCATAGGGTATGTGTGTTTTTCAGAGAGATAGAGATACAGAGAGAGGTAAAGTGAGAAATCATTGCCTACCCAGGAGGGGATGGCCATGCTACAATCCCTTCTCCTCTTTGGATTTTGGGCACACATGCACATGCACCCAGCGTGATTTTCAAGTTGCTTCACCTGGGACTTGAACCATGGTCAGCCATGTGGGAATCTAGTGCCTTAACTATCATGCCATGTGCTGATAGCTCGTCAGTGTTTTTTAATTACTTAGATAAAATAGGGAAAGTCAAAATATCCTGGCTGCATTAAAGGCTGGGTTGGAATGCAAATATGGTTCATCTCAAGTGCAAGAGACAATTAAAACTATCTTAGGCACTTTAGAAATGGCAGCTGTGTTGAGTGTTAGAGAGAGGGAAGGAAGGTGAGGGGATTTTACTTATTAAAAAGAAGGGGCAAGGATAAATTCAATTTTCTATTCTCTCTTGACTCCTTAATTCCCCAGTTCTTCAGACTTCCTGGTTTTAAGACTATCTAAATTATCTAAACAAGTTTTCCATGTCCCACCTTTCTGCATCCCACTTTTGTTTTGTCTTAATCTCCATCTGTCTCCTACGTAATGCCAAGTTTTTGCCACTCATGGCCACTTAGTCTACTGACAGAATTTCTCAATTCTTTTAAATTTAGGAGAGTCAAGATTAAATCCTATAACTAATGAGTAACAGAACTAAGACTAAACATAAGCCTTGAGATTCCAAAGTCAGTGGTCTATTAAATCACATTTTCCCTAAGGTACAATGACCATAAATTTATGCCATGCTAAATGAGAAGTAAAACTGACCAAGTAAGGTCATAAGTCAGTTTTCCAAAGAACGGCAGAAAGAGGCAGAAAAGAGAAGACAATGTCAGGGAAAACAATGAACATAACATATCTATCATGAAGGAGGAGCTCACAGCATTTCCCAGAAGACTCTCTAAGAACTAGCCTTAACTGAGGACACCACAAACACAGTTCTTCAGGCTGTCCTTTGTGTCATTACGGAGAGTCCCCACAGCCCCTCAGAACTGTTTTCTAAACCACTCTAGGGCCGTCTCATGTAGCATATTACTAAATGTTCTCAGAAACAGACTCTTAAACATTTTATTTCTTCTTTAAAATAATTTTTTTCCAGAGTATGTGTTATACATATTATTTAACCAGAATACACCTGAAAACTGATGATTCTTTGAGGATTTTTTACTGTTGATAATTAACCCATTATACACGGTATTTTAAAAACAGACATAGAAAAGAGAAGCCAGGAAAACAGTTTCTAATGTTCTGAGATCATTTTAGGACAAGATGGCTGCTTGCCCATCAACATACGCCCAGACAAACTTGTCTTCAATTCTTGTTGCGTCAAATGGGAAAAATCAAATTTGCAAAACCAAACATGTCTGTTATAATTTTTAAAACTGTCAAGAGACTAAAATAGTATTTCTTACCTCCGTGCGACATAATAAAAAATAGGATTTCCAGCTTTAGAAGTCCCAGCTTGGTAGAAAATACTTAGGGTTTTCAAAGCCTTGAACTCTTCTTTTTCATGCACCTGATGTCTAAAAGAAAAACAGAACAGAGCAATTCAGAGGCTTTATATTGAGTACCTACAAAATCTACTGAGTACAAAATCTATAATTGGGTCAATGACAAAAAATTTAAAAATAAAATATTTAAAAAACAACAGGCTTTCTAAAGAGTAATTTGGCAACAAGCACCCAGAATTTGAAGCTGTTACTCTCTGAACCATGAAAGCACTTTTAGGACTGTCTTGAGTCCACTACTGGGTAGGGATATACTCTAGTTTTCACTCCTGACACCATCTCCAGATAGAAGTGCTTGTGTTTTCATTCAATGACCATAAATTTATGCCATGCTAAATGAGAAGTAAAACTGACCAAGTAAGGTCATAAGTCAGTTTTCCAAAGAACGGCAGAAAGAGGCAGAAAAGAGAAGACAATGTCAGGGAAAACAATGAACATAACATATCTATCATGAAGGAGGAGCTCACAGCATTTCCCAGAAGACTCTCTAAGAACTAGCCTTAACTGAGGACACCACAAACACAGTTCTTCAGGCTGTCCTTTGTGTCATTACGGAGAGTCCCCACAGCCCCTCAGAACTGTTTTCTAAACCACTCTAGGGCCGTCTCATGTAGCATATTACTAAATGTTCTCAGAAACAGACTCTTAAACATTTTATTTCTTCTTTAAAATAATTTTTTTCCAGAGTATGTGTTATACATATTATTTAACCAGAATACACCTGAAAACTGATGATTCTTTGAGGATTTTTTACTGTTGATAATTAACCCATTATACACGGTATTTTAAAAACAGACATAGAAAAGAGAAGCCAGGAAAACAGTTTCTAATGTTCTGAGATCATTTTAGGACAAGATGGCTGCTTGCCCATCAACATACGCCCAGACAAACTTGTCTTCAATTCTTGTTGCGTCAAATGGGAAAAATCAAATTTGCAAAACCAAACATGTCTGTTATAATTTTTAAAACTGTCAAGAGACTAAAATAGTATTTCTTACCTCCGTGCGACATAATAAAAAATAGGATTTCCAGCTTTAGAAGTCCCAGCTTGGTAGAAAATACTTAGGGTTTTCAAAGCCTTGAACTCTTCTTTTTCATGCACCTGATGTCTAAAAGAAAAACAGAACAGAGCAATTCAGAGGCTTTATATTGAGTACCTACAAAATCTACTGAGTACAAAATCTATAATTGGGTCAATGACAAAAAATTTAAAAATAAAATATTTAAAAAACAACAGGCTTTCTAAAGAGTAATTTGGCAACAAGCACCCAGAATTTGAAGCTGTTACTCTCTGAACCATGAAAGCACTTTTAGGACTGTCTTGAGTCCACTACTGGGTAGGGATATACTCTAGTTTTCACTCCTGACACCATCTCCAGATAGAAGTGCTTGTGTTTTCATTTATTTTATTTTTTTTAAGAATTATTTTATTGAGGTTTGTGTGTGTGTTTCTTTGTTTATTTATTTTGATTTGACAAGAGAGAGAAAGTGAGAAAACAAGCCCCCAGGTTCGGGACTCAAACTACAGTCTACCATCGGTGGGTCATGTGGGAGTCCAGTGCCCTTAACCAACTCGCCACCTGCCAGCCCCCACTGATTTTTTTTAAGACTTCAGTTTGTCAACCTTTTCTTTTCTAGCTTACAGATTTTGAATGGAGCGAACAGACCATCCCTTGTCCATGTTTTCTTCTCTTTATTGAAAGTTCATCCTAGTCTCTCTGATTTTAAATACCACTCTTATGTTAAATTTTTGACAGTACTGAAATATATTTCTGAAAACATATGTTTTTTGTTTTGTTTTGTTTTTAATGGGGAAGCAAGACTTTGTGGCAGTCTTGCAAGACTGGGTGTCTGAGGAGCAGGCACACCCAAATGGTTACAACAGCAATTCATTCCCTAGTGTGCAAGTCACTTTCCCAAATCCTCCTTGGCTGATACTATGGGGTGGACAATCATCCTGGGGGTCACCTAAGTTTCATTATTTCCTTATTAGGTATTAAGGTGCAGGCTCGGGACAAGCCTGTGAAAAAGGCCTGCCAAATGTCTTGAAGAGGGAGAAGACGAGGAAGTAAAAACTAGCAAAGGGCTGGTGACCAGCGATCATGCTTTTAATTTTTATATATTCTGCTCAAGAATCAGTGTGATTCTTTAAAGATTCATGTCATTCATCAATCCTGGAAAATTCTCACCCATTATCTCTTTAAATATTATCTCTTCCTATTCTCAGTAAGCTTGATTTCTGAACACCTACTAGGCATATACTGGAGGAGCTTCTCATATCTATCTTCTACATCTCTCCACATCTTTCATATTTTCCAGTTCTTTATCTCTCTGTTCTGACTATAAGCTAGGTAATGTGCTCAGAAAATATATTCTAGCTATGTATTTTTTTAAAAACAATTTTTATGGGGGACCAGCAGTTGGCATAATGGCTATGTTGCTCGACTCCCATGTAGTCAACCATGGTTCAAGTCCCAGACCCGGTGGCTTAAACTCATGCTGGGTGCATGTGCGTGCGTGCCCAAGATCCCAAGAGGAGAATGGAGGAGAAGGGATTACAACATGGCCACCCCCCCCAGGGGGTGATTTCTCACTGTCTCTCTCTCTCTCTCTCTCTCTTTCTGGCAAGCACACACGCTCTATAGCAAAAATTTCTCCAAAGGAAAAAAAAATATGTATGTTTTTCGTTTATCTAGTATTTCTATATGTCTTCTGTCTTGGGGATGAGGTTGTATTAGCTCAGTCCACTGTGATACAGGTATCAGGTGAGCATTTGTTTAATAGTAATGAAAATAACCTGTATGTCATTTGATGAGGAAACAGATATAAACGTGCACAGATAAGTAACTGGGAAGCTATTCACTAAATGTTAAGGAATTATTTGTAAAAGGTGGGATAACAATATTTTTAAAAATTTTCTTCTTTAGACTTTTATATTATGAGTTATTCAATTACAGTTTTCAAAAATAATTCAGGACATTATAAAGCTACCTTAATTTTCTAAAAATAAAAATAGGTTCCAAAGAGCATCAGTGGGGAGTTATAAAAGAATAAAAATAACATCTAACATGTATTAAATACTTTGTATGTATTAGACACTGTTCTAAGTATATGACACATATTAGACTATTTAGCCATCAAAAATACAGAATCTTGCTTTATAAGGGAAGGTAGAGTCTTAGGTAAAAGGAATAATAAAGAGGTTTTCTTAGACAAATGAGGAAATCACCAGGATGCCCTCTATTATGTTGAATGTAAGTCTTCTATCTTTGTACTATGTGATTTTCAATTAGGCAATAAGATTTTTTATACAGAAAATATCCCCTTGAGTATTAGAAATAAACATTATTTACATTGAGAAAAATCTAACAGATTTACAAGTAAAAGGTAAGTTATAAAGGATAGCATATATTCTTATGCATTATCTTAAATATTAATCTATTCTTTTAATAATATCAATGAATTTGAGTCAGCCTTACAAAACTATGATCTATATATTAGATTCATCACAGCACTTATAGTTCAAGGCATATTATAGGTAAATCTCTGATGTGAATTAGCTTCTGAATGTAATCTGTTTTTTTTTTTCTTTCTGCCTCTGACATATACTGTGATTAAAACACTCAACCCAAACGCACAACGAAAAGTATAAAGAACTATGGAAGGTATCTTAAAGTATAAAGAGCTATGGAAGGTATCTTAAAGACTAAAAGATTTAACAGACTACCTTCACGTAACAGACTACCTTCACGTAATAGAGGTATGTGTCTAACAATGAGGATCTTTTTGTTCACAAACTAAATCCCTTTGGAGATTCCAAACAAGTGTCCACAGAAATTTTATAGCAGTATTGAAGAATACTATATTTTCTGAGCCTTAATCTAGAAAAGAAGTTAAAACCATTAACATTTAGGAGTGTTCTAAAAAATGCTATAGTGTGGTAGAAAGAGTTCATCACTTAAAATCAAAAGACCTATGAATCCGGTGTGGAATCAGCTATTCACACTGAGTTGCATTTTCTGTAACTATAATATAAAAGTAACATTACTTATAGTACTGTATAAGTATTAACTGCAAAAACGTATCAAATCAAGATGATAAAGTATGATTCAATTAGACACTATTATTTTTACAAGAAAATTAAAATATTCAACAAGACAAGAGCCAGCCAGTGACTTTGTGGTTAAACGAACTGGATCCCAAACAGCTGCCTGTGGTTCGAATCCCAGCCCTGGTGGCTCGAAAAACATGCCAGGTGTATGTGCATATGTGCTCCAAATCTTGACAGGATGAATAAATAGAAGAGAAGGAACTGCAGTGTAGCTATGCCCCATGGGGGGTTCTTTCTCCTTCTCCCTTTCTGTCAGTCTCCCTCTGGCATGTACACATGTCCTTTGGCTTTAAAACAAACAAAAGAAAATAAGGGGTATGTGTGTTTATATACCATTAATATATAGGGTAGGGGGAAAGTTGGACCCCAAAACACAACATTAGGATTATGAAGAACATCTTTCCTGATAATGTATAGGCGAGAATACGAGCATATCCAACTGTGGCCTGGTGGTAAACTGTGATTCTCCAAACCAAAAAGAAAGCAACCAGCATTTCCAAGCTGTACTTTACCTAGTCATAAATTCCTCAAACTTTGAACTGGTAAGGTTAAGGCTGGACCAGTGTGTATCTGCCACAGGTTTGTGCTCTGGAGGACCCAGGTATGCAAGAAGGGTTGCCATCTTATCAAAAGGTCGTCGTCCAACGGCTTTATGATCCCTAGATACAACAAAGGACTTAAGAACAAAGGAGCAGTTCACATTTTCCAGTACACATTTCTTTAGATTGTAATTGGTGGTTTCTCTTTTTATTGTCAGTTGGTAGTTT